AGAGAATCTGGTTGGATCGCGTCCTCGTTCAGACCTAGTCCAACTGGCCTTGGTAAATTCTCATTAGATCAGTCCCCTTGTATCAGTGGGTGATCGCATCCCTCGCAGTCCTTATTTCCTTTTTCATTTTCTTCATCCTTCTGCTCCTCATTTGGACCTTGGGGGGCTCAGTCCGGTGCTCCAATGTGGGTCTCCGTCTGTATCGCCATCCATCGTCGGATGAAGGTTCTCTCTGGTCTTGCCTTCTTTGCTCACGTTCTCTTTCCTTCTGCTTCTCGTTTGGGCCTAGGGAGTTAAGTCCAGTGTTATGATGTGGGTCTCTGTCTCTATCTCCATCCATCGCCAGATGAAGGTTCTATGGTGATAAGCAAAATATTCATCAGTATGGTTATGGGCCTAGGCCGTTTCAGGCACCCTCTCTTCTGTCCAGAGAACAATCTGGGGATCTCTCCTTGGACCTGGGATCCCATTTATAATCAAGTCTCCTGTAAACCCTAAAATGACTCCCTTAGTTGAAGTATATTCTTCCCTGATCCCATATTCATCCTTCCTCCCTCCCCTCCATCCCAGTCCACCGAGCTTTCCCCATTCCTCCCCTACTCCCTTCTCTCTAACCCTCTCCCCTTCCAACAATCCTCCCACCCCCCCCATGCACCCAAGGTTACCTGGGACTCTTGTCTATTTCCAATCTCCAGGCAGATAGCTACATGATTTTCATCAGGTTCACCTTCTTATTTAGCTTCTCTAGGATTACGAATAATAGGCTCAAAGACCTTTAATTATGGTTAGAATCCACATATGAGTGAACACATACCATATTCCTCTTTTTGGGTTTGGCTTACCGCATTCAGTAAAGCATTTTCTATTTCCATCCATTTGCATGCAAAATTCATGATGCCATTGTTTTTTACCGCTGAGTAAAACTCTAATGTGTATATGTTCCACACCTTTTTTTTAACAATTCTTCTATTGAGGGGCACCTAGGTTGTTTCCAGGTTCTGGCTATTACAAATAGTGCAGCTATGAACATAGTTGAACAAATGCTTTTGTAGTATGTTAGGGCATCTCTTGGGTATATTCCCAAGAGTGGAATTGCTGGGTCCTGAGGGAGGTTGACTCCCAGTTTCCTGAGAAACCACCACACTGATTTCCACAGTGACTGCACAAGTTTGCATTCCCACCAACAATGGATGAGTGTTCCCCTCATTCCACATCCTCTCCAGCATAGGCTATCATTGGTGTTTTTGAGTTTGGCTATTCTGACAGGTGTAAGATGATATCTCAAAGTGATTTTGATTTGCATTTCCCTGATCGCTAAGGAGGTTGAGCATGACCTTAAGTGCCTTTTGGCCATTCGAAGTTCATCTGTTGTGAATTCTCTGTTCAGATCAGTACCCCATTTTTTAATTGGGTTAATTAGAGTTTTAGTGTCTAGTTTCTTGAGTTCTTTGTATATTTTGGAGATCAGACCTTTGTCTGATGAGGGGTTTGTGAAGATCTTTTCCCAGTCGGAAGGTAGCCTTTTTGTCTTACTGACAGTGTCCTTTGCTTTGCAGAAGCTTCTCAGTTTCAGTAGGTCCCATTTATTCATTGTTTCTCTTATTGTCTGTGCTACTGGGGTTCTGCTTAGGAAGTGGTCTCCTGTGCCTATATCTTGTAGACTACTTCCCACTTTCTCTTCTATCAGGTTCAAAGTGGACAGATTAATGTTGATGTCTTTAATCCATTTGGACTTGAGTTTTGTGCATGGTGATAGATATGGATCTATTTTCATTCTTCTACAGGTTGACATTCAGTTATGCCAGCACCATTTGTTAAAGATGCTTTCCTTCTTCCATTGTATGCCTTTAGCTCCCTTGTCAAATATCAGGTGTTCATACGTTTGTGGGTTAATATCCGGGTCTTCTATTCGATTCCATAGGTCGACTTCTCTGTTCTTATGCCAATACTAAGCTGTTTTCAATACTGTTGCTCTGTAATAGAGTTTGAAGTCAGGGATGGTAATGCCTCCAGAAGTTCCTTTATTGTATAAGCCTGTTTTGGCTATCCTGGGTTTTTTGTTTTTCCATATAAACTTGATTATTGTTCTCTCAAGGTCTGTGAAGAAGTTTGATGGGATTTTGATGGGAATTGCATTGAATCTATAGATTGCTTTTGGTAGAATTGCCATTTTTACTATGTTGATTCTCCCAATCCAAGAGCAGGGGAGGTCTTTCCATTTTCTGGTATCCTCCTCAATTTCTTTCTTCAAGGACTTAAAGTTCTTGTCAAATAGGTCTTTCACTTCCTTGATTAGAGTTACCCCAAGATATTTTATGCTATTTGTGGCTATCATGAAAGGTGATGTTTCTCTGATTTCCCTCTTTGCTTCTTTATCCTTTGTGTATAGGAGGGCAACTGATTTTTTGGAGTTGATCTTGTATCCTGCCACATTACTAAAGGTGTTTATCAACTGTAAGAGTTCTTTAGTAGAGTTATGTACACTATCATATCGTCTGCAAATAACGAAAGTTTAACTTCATCTTTTCCAATTCGAATCCCCTTGATCCCCTTATGTTTTCTTATTGCTATTGCTAGAACTTCAAGCACTATATTGAAGAGATATGGAGAGAGTGGACAGCCTTGTCATGTTCCTGATTTTAGTGAATGGCTTTGAGTTTCTCTCCGTTCAATTTGATGTTAGCTGTCGGCTTACTATATAGTGCTTTTACTATGTTTAGGTATGATCCTCGTATACCCAATCTCTCCAACACCTTTATCATAAAGGGGTATTGAATTTTTTCAAATGCTTTTTCAGCATCCAATGAAATGATCATATGGTTTTTTTTCTTTCAGTTTATATATATGATGGATTACATTGATAGATTTGTGTATGTTGAACCAGCCCTGCATCTCTGGGATGAAGCCCACTTGATCATAATGGATAATTTTTCTAATGTATTCTTGGATTCGGTTTGCCAGTATTTTATTGAGTATTTTAGCGTCAATGTTCATGAGTGAGATTGGTCTGTAATTCTCCTTCTTGGTTGTGTCTTTGTGTGGTTTTGGTATCAGGGTAACTGTAGCTTCATAAAAGGAGTTTGGCAATGATTCTTCTGTTTCTATATTGTGAAATACATTAAGGAGTATAGGTATTAGCTCTTCCTGGAAGTTTTGGTAGAATTCTGCATTGAAACCATCTGGTCCTGGGCTTTTTTTGGTCGGGAGGTTTTTGATAACAGCTTCTAATTCTTCACTACTAACAGGTCTATTTAGATTGTTCAGTTGGTCTTGATTTAACTTTGGAAAATGGTATTTATCTAAAAACCAATCCATTTCTTGTACATTTTCCAACTTTGTGGCATATAAACTCTCGTAGTAAGATCTAATGATTCTCTGAATTTCCACTGTGTCTGTTGTTATGTCCCCCTTTTCATTTCTGATCTTATTAATTTGAGCGTTCTCTCTCTGCCGTTTGATTAGTTTGGCTAGGGGTTTGTCAATCTTGTTGATTTTCTCCAAGAACCAACTTTTTGTTTCGTTGATTTTTTGGATTGTTTTCTGTGTTTCTATTTTGTTGATTTCAGCCCTCAGTTTGATATTTCCAATCTTCTACTCCTCCTGGGAGAGTCTGCTTCTTTTTTTTCCAGAGCTTTTAGGTGTGCTGTTAAGTCTCCAATATGTGCTTTCTCTGTTTTCTTTAATTGGACACTTAGTGCTATGAACTTTCCTCTTAGCACTGCTTTCATTGTGTCCCATAGGTTTGAGTATGTTGTGTCTTTATTTTCATTAAATTCAAGGAAGACTTTAATTTCTTTGAGATACTTTTTTTTGATATTGCAAAAAGACATTTAAGAGATTTAAATTTTTTTAAAAGTACGATTAAGGCTGTGGGACATATGTGCTTTTACATTGCTAATATTTGAAATTAAAATAAAAAGCTAAAAATTAGGGTCAGAGCCATAAGCACCAAAAGCTAGCCAGGAACAGAAATGTTCATTTCCTGTGATGCAGAAGACAATAACCTAAGCAGTTTGATAGAGGGCTTGGAACAGTATCCAAGCCAATGAATCTCAGTCTTTTGAGGGTTGTACAGGGTTAGTCTAGGACCACCTGCATGTCAGATGTTTAAACTGAGATTCACAACATAGACAAAACTGCGGTTGTAAAATAACAATGGGAAAAATTTGTAATGGGGAGATCACTATAACATGGGAAACTATATTAAAAAGTCAAAGCATTAAAAAATTTAACTAATGTTTTAAAAACGTATTTCCTTGTTCAAGGTCTATTAAGGCTTAGAAATGTAGTTTAACCTCCTTGTCTTTGCTAACTTCGTTGGCTTTAAGCTATTTGGATAAACTGAGTCATCGATTTTTTGTATTGATACTAAGAGGAACTTCAAGTGAAAAATTGTTGTTTTCTGAGGCTCATACTTAACAGAGATCAAAGTACAAAGTCCTTTTCCCAAGGTCAGGCATTTGGATAAAGCTCCCATCCCCTCAGGTTGCTTGGAGAAAGTTCTCACTCTCAAAAAAGGCTGTTGCCCTTCTTATCTCTGGCAAAAGGAACATATGGCCCAGCATATGACTATAGTGCCTTAGAACTTGTCAAGGGCAATGTTAGCCCCTCACCTTCCTCCTGTTCCCATGTTGCCCTGTGACCTTTTCCTTGCCTTCCCAGGAGACAGCATCAAGGAGCAGAATGCACACTTGTTCTGTTTTTACCCTCGGAATGACTAATTCAATTTCTTTGTTAACTTCAAATTAAAATCATTATTTTTTAAAGGCTAAACATGACAGAATGTAAAGTTTTTGTCTTATGAAAGCTACTAACTTATTATAGACAGGAAATATAAGTTGGTCAGTTATCATTAAAGTACTGATATAATTAATTACTGGGATAAGCCTTATTTAGTTCCCTGTATATGTTTTCAAAATCAGACTTAAAACAAGTAACTAGAAACAAAATTTGTCTCATTAAATATACCTAGGCAACCTTCATACTTTAGTGATCTGAAGAATATGGCATCTAAAATAATGTTTAAAAAGCTTATTATATTAAACAGAGCCTCCAAGATTCTAGCAGTGACCCAAGGTCTCCAAAGAAGATTGTGAGGCACCATGATGTCTCCACCTGGATTACAATGATGCTGACCACTGGGCGAGATGCCCCAGTGCAACTCCTGCTGCCAGGACCCGGTTCAGATTGTGGACAAACAGCAGGACATGGGAGATATGATTACACCACTTTTCCAAGACAAAATAAGGTCAGTCTTTTCCATGTCTCTCTTTCAAAGGAAAAAAAATTCGCTTTATGGGCCTGGCTAAGACTGTAAGACTGCAGTTCTGGACACTTCTGCCTTTAATGCTATGGAGACCTTGGAATGGCTAACTGCATATAGACTCTGGTCCCTGTCATTTTTAGTAGATTAGGAAGCTGCTTGGTCCGTACTCAGGTATAATTTATTTATTCTTCTGGGATCTCAGATAGTATTGATGGCTAGGCCAGCTATAATGCTCTGAGAATCTAAAAAATGACTTAAGATGTAAATACAGGTTAAAATATGGAAAATGTTTCTGATTTCTTTCCCCTCCTATGGTATAGTTCTGATAAACTGGTAGAGCAATGACTACTTACTGTTTGGGTCACAAGCTCAAGATTCTAGATTTATTCTGGTTGCCATTTAAACATGAACTTAAAGGTAGTTCTCGTCAGGCCAAAGACATCTCTGTCCAATCCATACCTGGATCTCTGGACAGCAAAAAAAAAGATACACATGCTTCTAATCTATAGTTTTTGCCAGGACTCAAAGGTATGAGTCTATTCCTGCTGTTTACAGATACCCGTTATCTACTTTTATCTACGATATGGATTTCAATATAGGCCTAAAAGTTTCAAATGTGTTATTTTTCTTTAGGTACATAAATTTTTAACTTCTGTTCCTAGTTTAGACTTATCTCAATAGGTTTCCACTTGGCTGGCAGACACATCTAAGCATCAGTTGTTGACTACAGCCTGCTGAGCCCTGGACTTCCTGAAAGCTGATGTGAACCAGGCCAGCTGAAGTGAATGTGACCTATCTCTTCAACAGAGTCTGTAAACCAGATGCTTTAGATGAGTGCCCCATTGCCTGAGTTCCCTCCTTACCTTTGACTAGCTTTTCAGCCTACTTGGGCACTGTTGCCAATGCCCCAATGTCAGCTTGACATAGGTGCAGAAAGGAACAGGTCATCCTAGGCTCTCTGTCCAGAATAACTTGAAAGGCTGAGACAACGGGGATCTCCTTGGCATGGGGGACCAAATGACTATTTATAGTGTCCATTGATAAACTAGACCAGGGAATGTTGTTTACTACTCAGGCTCGTCCTGAGAATAACCTATCACACTGATCAGGAGACCCTAGTGTAACGGTCTGTCCTGTCCCTTTAAGAGACAAGCCCCCAAGCCCAACCCATTTCCCCCTTCCACCAGGGCAAGCGGATCTTCTGGATCTTCTGCCTAAGAAGGCTCTCTCTCCATCCCTCTTCTGAAGAGGTGGCGGCTGTCTCTTCTCCTCTCCCACCTCCTCTCTCTCTGTTTCTCCCTATCGCTCTCCCGCTTCCCTTTCCTTCCATAACCCACTGAATAAACTATATCGAAACTCTCTCTGCATGGTGTGCCAATCCATCTCTCACCTGCAGCAGCTCCACGTGGGACTGGCTGCACCACTAACCTGCCAAGTTCTCTTACCCGCTGCCTCCCTCCTACCTGCCTGGGACCTACAGAGGCCTCATTGGTGGGACCGGCTGCCCATCATGACCTGCTGCTCCTGACCCTTGGGGAACCGAGCCATTTTAGCTAAACCATTGCATTGGTGCTGACAGACTCAGTAGACCCTCCCACCCACCATCAGGACTCAGAACTGGGTTTCTCCACAACAGCACTACATTCCATTTGCCTGAGCACTGACCTCTACATACACCACTGGCTTTGGTTGATGAATTCCCCCCTTCCAGTCAGCTTAACTATTTCTATGAACCCAAGGAATTGACTGTTGAGCTTCTGGAACCCCTCTGGTGTTCCTAGAATTGGGGGAAAGCCCCCAACCACAGCCTCCACAGTTATGGTTGAGTCCTTTGCTGACATTCATCTCTGGTTGCTTCTCATAGCTAAAAATGTGACCGGACCACCCAGGGTGATCCTCCTGTGCTAGTACTGCACATATGGAGTGGTGATTTTGCTTTGGGACCTAGGGCACCTCGAATGTTTTTTTGTTTGCGTGTTTGTTTGTTTCTGTCTCTCAAGTTCTCCCTTAGCACTGCACTCACTTAATGGTACATTTGTTTTTGGGGTCCAGGGCCCCTCATTTTTCTGCCTCATTACTTCCCATAGCTAAAAATGTGAGTGGACCACTCGAAGTGGTCCTGGCAGTGTTTGGATTGTGTGTGTATTGTGTTTTGTTTTCTTTTTGGGGGGCCTCTCATAAATGGTCCTCACTACTCTAAAGACTGCTCGTAGCAGTCCTAACCTCTGGTTCCTGAGCCGATGGGCTGGGAATCAGCTTGGCTTTACTATCAACTCCTGCACTAGCCTGGAGACATCTGGCTGGTTGCCCTGGGGTTTGCATCATTTTCAGCTATGAAAAACCAACCACATTTCTTTCTCTTTTTCTTAAATTGATTTTATTGATCTATACATTTTTTCTCTGCTCCTCTCCCCTCCCCTCCTGATCAACCCTCTCCCATGGACGACATGCTCCAAATTAACTTAGGAGATCTTGTCTTTTTCTACTACCCATGTAGATTAGATCCATATATATCTCTCTTAGGATCCTCATTGTTGTCTAGGTTCTCTGGGATTGTGATTTGTAGGCTGATTTTTTTTTTTTTGCTTTATGTCCAAAAGCCACTTATGAGTGGGATCCTCTGCAAGGCTGTACTGAGGACTTCCCAATTCTCTCTGCAGCTCCAACCAGGTCTATCTGTAGTTGGTCTCAGGAAGGAGCCATGGCAAGGATTGCAGCCACTGGGCACAATCATTCCTAGAATCTGAGCCTTTTGGTTCTACTGAGTTGTCTGTGTTCTAAGATGCCCACCAGTGAGTTGCCTGGATTTCACTGGGGGAGGGGGTACAGGGGCCACTGAGGGGGTACTAGACTACTGAGTCAGGAAGTCACAGTCTTTTTGTAAACATTGTTTTTATTGAGCTATGATGTGGGAGAATTGTCTGTATTCTGTCAATCATATTTTAATAAAACGCTGATTGGCCAGGCAGGCAGTATAGGTGGGAAAGCCAGACAGGAAGTAGGGGTGGAGCAAAGAGACTGGAAGTATTCTGGGAAGCAGGAAGCTCCCTCCGCCATTCCTGCCCAGATCACCGAAGAGGCAACATGTGAGCTGTCACACTGAGAAAGGTACTGAGCTGTGTGGCTAACGTAGATAAGGATAATGGGGTAACAAAAGTTATAAGAGCTAATAAGTAGCCTGACCTAATGGGCCAATCAGTTTATAATCTTATGGAGTCCTGTGTGTGATTTTCCTTGGGGTATGCCAGCTGTGGGGTACCGGGTAGGACAGAAACCCAAACAAACCGGCCCTCATGTTACAGAGCTATATTTTTCTCCACTCTCCTCCTTTCCTCTCCCTTCCCCCCTCTACTGTCTCCCTTGATCCCCATGGTCCCAAACTTTTCAAATCTTGCATTTTTCTACTTCCCATGTAGATTAAATTCACGTATGCCTCTCTTAGGGTCCTCTTTGTTGTCTAGATTCTCTGGGATTGTGAATTGTAGGTTGGTTTTCTTTGCTTTATGTCTAAAAGTCACTTATGAGTGAGCACGTATGATATTTGACTTTCTGGGTCTGTATTATATTTTCTAGATCCATCAATTTACCCTCAAATTTCAAGATGTCATTATTTTTTTCTGCTGTGTAGTACTCCATTGTGTAAATGTACCACATTTTCTTTATCCATTCTTCAATTGAGAAACATTTAGGTTGTTTCCAAGTTCTGGCTATGACAAATAATGCTGCTATGAACATAGTTGAGCACATGTTCTTGTGGTGCAATTGAGCATCCTTTGGGTATATATCTAAAAGTGTTATTTCTGGGTCTTCAGGTAGGTTGTTTCCCAATTTTCTGAGAAATCGCTTTACTGATATCAGCTTGCACTCCCACTGAAATGGAGGAGTGTTCCCTTTACCCCAAATCCTCTCCAGCATAAGTTGTCAGCAGTGTTTTTGATCTTGGCCATTCTTACAGCTGTAAGATGGAATCTCAGAGTTATTTTGATTTGCATTTCTTTGATGGCTAAGAATGTTGAGCATTTTCTTAAGTGTCTTTCAGCCATTTTATATTCATCTATTCAGAGTTCTCTGTTTATGTCTGTACCCCACTTTTTTTTATTGGATTCTTTGGGTTTTTTTGATGACCAATTTCTTGAGTTCTTTCTATATTTTGGAGATCATCCCTCTGTCCAATGTAGGGCTGTTGAACAATTTTTCCCATTCTGTAGGTTGCTGTGTAGTTGAAGAAGGTCACAGTCTTACAGGAAGGTCCTGGGTTCTCTTCTATCACAGGGACTTAACTCCGGGCTTCCTGGTCCTCACCCCATACCCCATCCCATTCCCTTTCTCTTCAGTGGATTGACAAAGTTGGGGGAAAGTTACTGAAGCAGGGCTGTAAAGGGCTGCATGAATGAGGAGGACAAGGCAGCAGAGGGGAGTAGCTAGTGATGTCCTCAGCTACCCTGGGATCCACTGAAGCCTAAATCATATCACCAGTGTGGACCCCTCCAGGAGGCAATCTCAGACAGCTCCCCAAGAATTAAGGCAGTCTATGCTCTGAGGACTGCCTTTTTGGGGTTTCTCCACAAGTCATCCATCATTCTGGGACCTCTTTTTCCTTGAACTTTCTTTTCTATCTTCCCAAAGTATTTTCCAGCAGATGACAGTAGATGCTTCCAAGGACAAGACATCCAAAGCCACATATGTTTGCACATTTTTTTCTCTCTTTTTTCTCTAACCTTTTATCTTGTTTTGTTTTAAAGCAGAATTTCACACTATATCACACTCTATAGAATCTGCAATAATCCCTTTTCTCCCTCAGTCTTTCAAGTTCTGGGACTACAGATTTGACTGACCAAACTCAGGTTCAATTTCCATGTGTCTGCCCAGCCTTCCCCACTTTCTCACCCATAAAGTGCATTTACACCCTCTTCCACTAGGTGGTAGTCTGTAGCTCAGCTAATCAGCTATTAGCACACCTTGTCCACTATTAGCACACCTTG